ATTGTGTTTCTTTTTCTCTCATTTTACTCTTTAATATTTTGTTCTATGGTACAACTCGAGAGTACCTTCTGGTCCTAGATTGATAGTGCTCCGTATATAGTGTCTTCATAAATGTATAACTTTATAACTGCACGGGTGGGGAGGACACGGGCTTCATGTCGACGAATTGCGAGGCTCGTGCACATCATGTCCTCTGCCTTTTATTCCTCATGTGCTACCAATTATATGAACACAAACACACACACACAACTGTGTCCAACATCTTTTCGCCATGCCTCACTATTTTGAGCACTTTCATTTCCTTTTATGGACAATATTTGGCACCTTCATGTACATGCCATTGTAATTAATGGGAAGGAGCCTAAGAAAATTAAACGTCGTCATTAAAGATTAGGGAAAATGTTATCCGATTGTTAAAGTCGAACATTACACTTGGGTCAGATATTAGGGCTGGCTGCTGGCCTGTTGTCTGTGAAATTTGTTTGCTGGGTCGTTTTGCTTTCGTTCAGATGACTGTTGCTCTGGCTTTATATTTTCCTAATCTCGGAAGTAGTAACTCCCGTTATTATATTAAGCTGTTTCCTTTCTAAGACACTTCTGCAAGCCCGGTCTGTGCGTCTCCTCTGTCACACTGATCTTATATATCATGTGTGTGCTTCCTGAAACCATTTAAGCGTTGATGGAAACTATTAGCGTGTCAGTGCAGGCTTCACAGAGAGAGGTTGCTTAGTCCAAAAACATTCTTTCCCCCTCAGAGAACTTTTCAGATGATGCTGTGTGGCTGATAATAGTAGTGATTTTCACGAGCAATTATGATGGAGGACCTAGTGGGTTTGGGGGTTAGCTTCAGAATGCTTTGACATTTCATCTCTGGGCGTGGATTCGAATGTGGCTTCCATCAGCCGGTGATACAAAATAGTTCCATCTGATGGCTGCCTCATCTGTACCGTCAGCCAGGCCTCTGAGGTTCATTTTGCCCGAGCAGGTGTGCATGTCACGGAGAAAATGCTGTCACCTCTGACTTTCACGGATGCTACAGGGTTAAGTGTTTTCAGCTGAGTTGTGGACTTTAATCTAGAGAATTCACCCCCACCCCAGCCCCCAGTTAGGCCTTTTAATTAGACCGTGGGGAGAGGCCCATCGTGTAGCATATCCTGTGCCTGACAGTCACATCCAGGGGCTGATTTTGAGAGAGGAAGGGGGACATGATTTGTCCTCAGTGATGTTTCAGAGTTTCTCTAAGCCTCTTTATCTCTTCAATGTATACCATCTTTGTCAGAAACAAGTTCCATATGTGTTGTTGTGGGGGGGGGGGGCGTGCCTGCTGTGTAGAGGAGTGTTTAGCCTAGTTTGTTCTAAAAACTCTTTCTTGCTTTAAGAGATGCCCCTTGAAAATGTTCTAAAGTGGATTTTGGTGATGGTTGCACAACTCTGTGACTATACTAAAAATCATTTAACTACATGCTTTAAATGGGTGAATTCTAAGGTATGCGAATGATATCTCAGTAAAGCTGATGTGTGTGTGTGCCTACACATGCAATCCCCTTGGTTCGAAATTCTAATATTTAATAAACAAGCTCAGTATTATTTTTTGCTTCCTAAACCTTTTTATATTACCCTCCTGAGCCTTTGCATTTTCTGTCTAAAGAGCTCTAAGTTTTGCAGTTTAACCTTTTTGTATATTAATTTATCAATCAACAAGTATATATTTAGCATCTCTTTTAAGTGGCAACAGCCAGATTATTAAAAGGACAATGGTAATAGTAGGACGAGAGGAGCATTGTCACAGGAATTATTAATAATAAATTAAAGTAGCAATTGGAATGGCGGCCATTCTGTTGGTGAAGCACAATAGTGATTTAACTGTGATTGTGGTGACAGGGAGCCGACAATTGAGTCCCTGCTAATGGCCCAACAGGGGAAGGGGTTGAAAAGAAGGAAGGAGTGGTTTACATTACAAAGGGATTGTCTGAGAGCTGTTCAAGTGTGGTTCTGAGGGGAGGTCAGGCCTGAGACAGAGGGGGTGATGACCATGGAGCTGTCAAGGGCATCTCAGGGGCTTAGGGGGAGCGCCGTGGCAGCTGGACGCAGCCTGGCGGGGAGCAGCCGTGCCCTGGCCCTGCCTAGTTCTAACTGATAAAAAGGAAATGCAATGAGAAGATAATTGAGGGAACCAGGAGGCCTGGGCAAGTGTCACAGGAATGAAAAGGGAGTCTTGGAGCCATTGGAACCTTGGCTGGAAAAATCCTGGCTTCATTTTGACCAGGGTTGGACCACTCTCTATGGGAGTAAAACTGCACTAAGGGGTGTGTGTGTGTGTGTGTGTGTGTGTGTGAGAATAAAATGCTGTGATTGGCAGATCTATTGAAGTCCTTGACATCTGTTGCACTCCTCCTTAAGGTTGCACATTTCCCAAATACACACACACGCACACACACGCACACACACGTGCCTCACTTTTACCAGATGTTAATGAAAACAAAGCATCTAGACAACAGCCCATGTTCCACTTGCCACATTGTGCCAGGGCTGTTCTTTATAGCATTTCCCCCTCCAGCCAAGGATCATGGGTCCGTCCCATTTAGTTGGCATGCATTAGAGAGACGGAAAGAGCACAAGAATATGATGAAACTAATGAGGCAAAATGTTAAATATTGATGAATGGGGTAAAGGCATGTTCTCCCTGTGCGACCCCTGCTGACCTCTTTATCCCTGTCTCATAAGTCTTGTACTCTCGCACACTATACCCCAGCCCAGTGGCATTCTCTTTGTTCCTCGGACAAGCCAAGCTATTCCTACCTTTCAGCCTCTGCACCGGGGGCCCCCTCTTCTCCCTGAGCTGCACTTGGCCAGCGTCTATGTGTCATTTAGCTCTCAGTTGAAATGTCACTTCCAAGAGAGGACATTCCTGTGAACTGAAGTAATGATCCAATCACTTTCTATCCCCTTTTTTTAATTATCTGCCTAGGCCCATCACTAGCTGATAATTTTGTCTCTTGCATTTACCAATGAGACATCCAAAACAGCACCTAGGTACTCTAAGACTATTTGTTAACTGAGTGTACTAATCTAAATGCCTAGAAATAGGGAGTCATTGCAAATGATGGCAATCCATGTGGTTTGTGCACGAAAATGCTTTAGATCTTTAATCAGGGACATATATTCAATGAGAAAACCTTGGCTCTCCATTAGAACAATGATGAATAAATTTACTTCTATTTATTTTAATTCAATAGTAAATGTTTAAGATATATAAAATCTTTTGTATATTCTCCGCTATAATAAAGAATGTTTTTTAATATGAAATACTGACACTAATTATATTGGTTAAGAAGACATCTCTGTCTATAATCTATGTATTATTTAGAGAGACCCCAAGTATATAAGTAGTTTGAACATGAAAAAAAGAAATACATGAAAATAATAACTCATTATTTGGGGGAAATGAAATTATGAGTAATTTTTCATTTTTATATTATACAGAATAGATGTGATCAAACATTAATAAAACTGTAAATGCAGTTTGGATGTGCAAAGGCTTTCTTGAATTTGGTGTGCTTATTGAATGAAGCTTTATGGAAAATGTCACTCATCTGGGCTTTGCAAAGGTTGATATACTTTCAGGGTGGACAGATAAGTAGAGAGAGCTTTTTGGTTCAGAAGCAGAATGAACAAAGATAGGAAGGGACCGACTAGGACATAGGAGTCACCCTAATTGAATGGAAAGCTCACCTTTGGGGGCTAGTGGGAAGTGACTTGGGCGAGTGAGATAGGGTCAATTTAAGAAGATCTTTAAAGTGGGCAGAGAGGTTTAGACTAGCAATGGAAAAGAATAAGGAATATGTTCTTGAGAAAAGAGGTCAACATGATGGCCTGGAAGTTTTAGGAAGATGATTCTGTGCAGGGAGTGAACCAGAGATGGCAGTTAGGAGGGGTGACACCAGTGTCCACCTGGTATTCATGGTAGACACCAAAGTCAGTCACAGCTCTGCTCTGCCCTGACTCAGCCTCCAGGCCACCCTCATCCAGCCCTGACAGTGGTCACTCACTAGTCAGGGCTGGCATGTGACACTTAGTTGTCTCCTTCCCTGCGTGTTGTCACACTGGAGAGGTGAAAGCTGGGGAGATAGAAGGCAGGACAGGCAACGGGAAGGCCCACGGGATGCATAGTCCTGAGGTTATACGCGGGATAAGTATCTTGAGAAGTTTCTTTTGTGTTTCTACATTTGTATTTTAATTAGGGCCAGAAATAGAGATCTTTTTGGTGTAGCTCCATTATTCAGTTATTAGAGAAATGTTCTGCTTTTTTAGGCTTTGTCACTGGTGGACCGTTTTTAGGCAGTTCCTTTTTTTAAAAAGTCTTTCCTTAAATATTTAATAAACCTTGAGGACAGTCGCTCCAAGAAATTATGCGTCATAAAACGACTCTCCCCCGTTTTTAATCTACAAAGATTTAAATGCACCTGCTCTGTCCACTCGTGGGGGTTAACTTGTCAGATTATGTTCAGCCACTATTTCTGTTCAGTGTTGTTGTTTTTTAAAGGTTTTGTTTTCTCTTGTTGTTTTTTTTAAAAGCTGTTTTTAGATTGCAGAATAGCAAACAAAATTAAAAATGAAATGAAGTCATCTCATCCTTGGGGGAGAAAAGACTTCTATGCCGTCAGTGTGTGGGCTGCTGCAGAGCGGAATGTTTATCTTAACTGCATGTTAAAGATGGGAAATAAAGTTAGCAATAGCCAAAGGCCTCCTTTTGAATAATTTATCACAAAGGGGAAAACATAAATCTAGTGGCAAAACTACTTTCCTTTATAGGCTAGTGTTTCTTGGATGGGTCGGAGAACATATGAAATGTCAGTTCTGCCCACTACTTGATCCCAGGTAACCTCCCCAAGTCTCTAAGTCAAGGTTTGGTTGCTGGGACCAGTGGCAGTTGACTTTTCTTATGGATGATCTTGCTTTTGTTCTTTTTTCCTCTTTATTACCTATGGTTCCTGATCAAGAGTTTACAAGACCCTGTGAAAAAACTGGCTGAGAAGGAAGAAAGGAAGAAGATTGCCCGGCAGGAGCGCGCCAAGGCCACAGCGGAGGAGCCCAGCCAGTAAGTCGGGGGGGGCGGGGGCTGTTTGTCTGGACAAAAATCTTTGTTCCCACAGCTGAAAGCAGCGCAGTCTGGCTGACCAAGTCTCTCGGGGCCTCGGACCCAGTGTAATGGCTTTACTCCCTCACTTCTCAGGGTAGATGTGTTAATATTGAGACCAATCCCCAGCACATGTTTCTACTGGACCAGGACTCACCCCAGTAAGAGAGCCATAGAAGGGACACAGTTGAGAGGCGTTTAGTGGGGCAGGAAAGGGTAGTGTCCCCTCTGCTGCCTGGCTCTCTGTCTTGTGGTCTCGGCCCCAGCTTTCTGCTTGTCCTTTTGTCACCATCACTTACAAGATCCTGTCCCAGATAGGAAATCCCCTGGCTTTGGTCTCAAGGAAGGAAATAACCTATGAAATTGCCTGGTAACTCATCTGGTACTTAGGTGTTATCATCTGAAAGTGCTGGGTGTTGACATTTTTGTTTGCCACCCTTCAGCCCTGCTGTTTTCTTCTGCGAGGCGGGGAGCAGCTCTGCCTACAGGAAGTGACTGCTCCATCTTCAGTTCTCGCCTCTTTGCAGAAAAGGTGCCTCCAGTCATTTTAAATAAGGAGAGAAACAGACAACCTAATTGGTGCAAACCTTCTCCTACAGCATGGAGAAGGTTTACATGTGAACCTATGTCTTTTTCTACTGACATGTCATAGCCTGCAGGAGCAGCATTAACCTTGAACGGGGCTGACCTAGGAAACCAAAATAGATCTTCCTCCCACTTGCTGTTCCTTTTCCATACAAAAGAAATTTAGATGACAGTCTTATGGCAAAGCAGCCTTATATTTTTACTGTGTTTCTAAATGAAGTTTCAAATATATCTATGTCCATAGATATATTAGTCCCACTCAAATATTTGCTGCCAATTTTAGCTCCCCCCTCCTTTTTTTTTAAGCATATGCTAGAAAACTTCGTTAGTGCAGAAGGAAAGCAGGTTTTCACTGTAGGGAGGCTACAAAATGTGATTTCAAGGTAGTACAGTTGATGACATTGGGGGAAGCAGTTTAACCTATTCCTAGTAATAAAAATAATGCTAGCTGCCAGTTAGTGAGCACTTACTCTGTGCTAAGCCCAATGCCAGGAGCTTTATTTATGTCATCTCAACTCATCCTCGTGGTAACCCTCCATGTAATCAGTGTAGCCATTTCCCCAGTGTGCGAATGATGGCAGTGCGGCTGAGAGGTTAAGCGACTGCCCACCCTGGTGCAGTAAGAGGCAGAGGCTGGAGTGGAACCTGGCACCTTCCTTCACCATATATGTTGCTACAGTCCAAATAAAGCATTACCTTCACTCAGAAGGGAGCTACCCAACATCATCTTGATTAGTTTTAGTTAACTTCAGAGTTCTCTATTTTAGTACTTCATCTTTAAAAGCTCAAATGTATAACCCAGAAACTATTTAAAAGGACAATGAAATTTAATAAGATTTTTTTTTTCAGAAAGAGCAGGAAAAGGTGAACCACTGCAGTAGGAGGGAGGTTCGGAGGCACCCGCTGGGTCTCAGGGTGGGGATGTGTGTCTGCCATGTTCTTACCCATGTATGGTGAGAGCTGAGTTGGCGACAGTCATCGATCTGCATTTGAGCATAATCCTGTTCTCAGCCTCCTATAATTTAATTTACTGAGGTGTCCTTCCTGTAACACCAGGAATCAGGATAAACACTTGCTTGCCCATTGGTTTTTTTAGCTGTGTTTTTAAAAGTGTTATCTTACTTGTACCTAACTAACCACCTATGTAGTTACAGAATATGTGCCTTGTGATGAAACCAGATTCAGATGTTAAGATGCTACTAACCAGCCTTGGGCCAGGAGAAAGCCAGCAAATGTATTTCTCCTTCAAAAAATGTGCAGCCTAGTGTGTGTGTGTGTGTGTGTGTGTGTGTGTGTGTGTGTGTGTGTTAAGTACAATAATATATATATTATATAGAATATCTGGTTGTATTATAAATATAACATTTTCAGAACTAGATACTAAACCTTTTTAAATTTATTTCAAGGTTAATTTCATTAGAAGAAGAAAATCAGCACAAGGAATCCTCTGATTTTAAGAGTAAGTTTTGAATTTTACTTAGAATTGATTCTGAAATACTACTGCTCAGCAGCCAGCTCATTATCTTCTGTGGCAAACTCCTCCTAGGTCTTCTTCTTTTCCAGTTGGGAAAATTGTGTATGACTATGCTTTCAGTCTTAACTTTTCATAGCTCAATGAGGTCGACCCAGTAGTGTTATTGAGAGAGGCTGTATATTTGGAACCAAAAATGGCATCATTAGTCACTTCGGCAGCAGCCCATCAGAGGAGCATCCACAGTTGAGACGTGGCAGAGAGCTATTTCTTTTACAACAGATGACATCATTTCTGCTATTACTTTTACTATTGCTAACTGCCATTTGGGCTGTAGAGATAGTTTTAATAAGATCACATCGGGAGAGTATGGCTTTCACTGTGTTGTGGGGTGGGTGGTGGTCCTTGTTGGGAACAGGGGGAGAGCTCAACACTGCCTTCCAGGTGATTCCTGGGCTGTTCTGGAGTGAGTAGCACCAGATCCCTCAATGTGGCAACTCTCCTGTGGTCGGAAAACGGACCAGAGCATTAGTGGATGACAGATACCATGTGCCGTAGGTGGCTTGTCAGCTCTCCCTGTCTCCTGCCATTACTGCCCGTTCATTCATTGGTTCATTTTCTCCTTAAGGAGTAGAGGGAATGGTACACTGGGGTAGAACTAAGATGTAATGCTGAGCCTTTCGCTGGGACTCCGAATCCTCAGAGATGCAGGGAAAGTTTTACAGATGATAGGAAGAGAACTCACATTGCCCAACCCTCTGGTCAGCCTGGCCCTCCCAGCGATATACCTGCATCTTCCCTTTGCTGCAGCAGGTGGCCTTTCTGGCAGCTAGGAGGAGGCACAGTAGACCCTGAAAGTTCCCTCTGCTCTTTCCTGTTCTCCACCTTCCATCCTACTTCTGCCTTCCTTCCTACTTTCCAACCACTCACTTTATTCTTCTCCCACTGTACTGCTTCATTTGCTTTTCTCCCAGGTGCCATTCAACAGAAAGAAACAACTCTCACTTTTATGCCTCTAGGTTGGATACCTTCACTTACTCCCGTACTTGTTCATTTGTTCAGCAGAAGTCTATGAGTCTGTGGCAGGCACAGCCCTGGGCTCTTGGCATGCAGTGGTTCACCAGACATAGTCAGAACATTCCAGAACATGGGTCTTACAATCAGAGGGAAGCAGGTGGTGATCTAACAGTGATACATGTAATTGGGCAACTACAAGGGCTCTGGGCAGATCTGATAGGGAGATGTCACCTGTCTGAAGGATCAGGGAACTAGCTAAGTCAAGTGCTGTTGTTAGACCCGCCAAAGCAAAAGGAACAGCCTGGGCAAAGATTATGAACAAGGGAGGACCAGGAGAAGGTCAGAGGCACAATGTTCTAGAGCGTGAGGGAGGGAGCAAGTGGCAGAAGGAGGCAGAGAGGCAGGCGGCCTGGTCCTGTTGTCCATGTAAGCACTCTTATTGATCCACACCCTCCAGCCTCAGAATCCCTTGGGTACCAACAGCATGAATCTTGTTGAGGGAATCTAGGTAATTGAATCAAAAAATTTAGTTCTGTGGGAAAATGTAAACTCTGGTTGATTCTATTTATATTCAGGTTGCATATCTACATAAATCATATGTTCATGCAATTTGTGGCAATACAGGAGAATCAAATTTTCTTTTCCTCCATGCAGTATGTTTACTTGCTCGTGTTATTTACGTAATATTTTGAGACTATAAATGTTGATCACCTTCTTTTATATATACACATAATGGAATCCATTCAAATGAAATGTCATCTTTTAGTCTGGGACTTGTAGAAAGTCTAATGTTCATATGCGCAAATCAAGTTTTAAGACTGTTCTATTGTGTTTGTATGTATGTATATTTACACACACACACACACACATACACACACACACACACACACACACACACACACTATTATTTAGAGTAGTTTTTGGTTCCCAGCAAAATTGGGCAGAAGTTACTAAGATTTCCCACATACCCCCTGTGTCCACATGTGCATAGCCTCCTCCATTATCAACATCCCCCACCAGAGTGGTGCATTTGTTATAAATGATGAACCAACGTTGACACATCTTATCACCTATAGTCCATAGTTTACATTATGGTCCACTATTGGTGTCTTATAGTTTATGGGTTTGACAAATGTATAATGGCATGTATTCACCATTACAGTATCATACAGAATAGTTTTGCTGTCCTAAAAATCCCCTGTGACTTCACCTATTCATCTCTCTCTCCCCTCAAACTCCTGGCAACCATTGGTCTTTTTACTGTGTTCATAGTTTTGCCTTTTCCAGAATGTTGCATAGTTGAAGTCATGCAATATGTAGCCTTTACAGACTGGCTTCTTTCACTCAGTGATCTGCCCTTATACTGTAGTCAGGCCCATATGGCTGAAGTTCATTAGCACCATCAAGGAATAGTCAGCCACTTCAGTTGCACATGTGTCCATGGAAGGAGAAACGTTAGATCCGTTTTTCGCTAAACAAAGCAAAGATTCAGGGCTGTTAACTCAGCATTCATTGAGAGCCAACAGCTTGAGTAAAACATAATCCGAGGACCCCTGCTTCTGGTGAGTGAGTTGTGGATGCCATTTCTTCCCAAAGCTGTGTGTTGACCTTACACTACGATTGATAGCATGTGAGCACACACACCACTCTGAATCGCTGTTAACCAGCTGCATGTTGTATTCACAGCTGAAGAAGGAAAGAGTGATTTCTCTACCTTAGACAAGAGCTCTCCACATAATGCATGCTCAGGTAATGCGGATGCAAGAAAATGACTCAACTGTAATCATTTGATTCAAACTCCTTACAAAATTAACTCATGATTTCGTTTTCTTTCCCCTCCTCTGATGGGCGGATAGATGAACTAGTGAACATGACACCCAAGGAAGGTGGTAAGATTTTTGCATTTCTTTTGGCTTATAATTTGTTTCATTTTTTTAATAGTGGTTTCACATGCAGGGAAATGTAATGTTTATCTTTTGAATAGGTGACTGTCATTTGTCTTCATAAATGAATTTTAATATGCTCAAGCACATGTTAGTAAGTGGACTCTGTCATCCTTAATATAATTAATTTCAAGATGTCCAAGTGACTAAAGCTAAAAGTTAGGATGTCAAAGATTATGTGTTGTAGTGGAGAAAACGTGACTTTCAGAATCAGAGAGGCCTGGATTTGAACACTGGTACACCATAAATGATCTGTATGGCCTTCAATCATTGGCTTCATGCTTAAACTCTCTTAACCTCAGTTGCTCTCATTTGTAAAATGGAGCCAGTAGAGAGAGTCCTGGTGGGTTATTGTCAAGACTGGAGATCATGTATTAAAGGGTCTTTCATGAGCTCGGACATAGGGACACTCTTCTAATGGTAAGCAGTCGCCACAGTAGGACTGGAAATGTTGTTCTGAAGGTGTACTGTGTTGCATATCCATTGAACCTTTGTCACATTCAGAGAGTTTGCTAGCTAGGTCCCACACCCAAGTTACCAAGCCTAAAATCATTTACTGAGTAACCATCCAAAAGAGAATTCAGAACCATGGATTTGTATGAGACGTGCATAGCCTTAAGTAATTCTAAGAAGTTGAGTGTGCACAACCCGGTCCTAACAATTGCTCCCCATCCTCCCAAGGGTTTACTTCTAATGATTGACCAGGAGTCCAGAGTACCCCTGAGATTCTGAACCATTCTCTAGAGCAGCCCTGTCCTTGCTGCGGGCACATGGTCTACCCTGGTCTTTCAGTTTTCTTATAGGACTAGAAAGGTCATCCTACAGACTCCAGTTAACTGGAGCCACTAACTTTCTTGACTCATTCCAAGTGTGCTTTGGATTTAATTCACAGACTGTGAGAGGAAGAAAATCTAGAAAACAGAGGGCATTGGTTAATGTTTTGTTTTGTTTTCAGAAATGGAAAAGTGGCAGAACTCTGACATTAAGTTTTTAGGGTTTAAGGATATAAACCTGAGGGCAGAAACCTGCTTTCCTCTTTTTCCAGGCAGCATATTGTGCAGTATATTATGAATGTCCGTGTTTATCTTATCAGAATGACTACTGATTGAGATCATGCCAGTTAAGAAAGTAATAAGCAAGTAATTAATGCAGATGGCCATACATGGCCCCATTTTCATGAAAATGTTTCCTTCTTGGCTAAGGGTAGAATATTTTGATGATGGAGTAAAGGTTTTGTAATAAATTATTTTTTGGAGGGGGAAATATTTCAGTCTTTCAAAGGTGAGATAAAGGCTATAGCAAGCACTAGGTGCCCATCATCTAGTTTTCATAAATCTTAATATTTAATAAGTATATTTATAATCATACATATGCTTTAACCTATTTTGATAGGAAGATTGTTATTTCTCCTATTTCCAACCTCTTGTGTACATAATTTGGTCTTTGATTTTATCATCTCCTATTTAATTTCATTATTTAAAAAAAAACTATTTTTGAATAAGTGGTGTATTCACATTGGTACAAAAATTGATAATAAAATGTACAAGTAAAAAACTCTCACTCCCATTCCTGTTCCCCATTCTCCCCTCTCTTCCAATATTCCCATCCCCCAGTGTACCTTCCAGCATGTTTTACATAGACACAAGCAAATATGAGTCTATATTCTCATGTTTCTCCCTTCTTACCAAAATAAGGGGATTTTGGTTTGGGATTGGACATTTTTACTTAGTAATGGTAGGACCCTTACCCAGTCACCATGCATTTCTTCACAGAATTAAACCAGAAATGCTGCTGTCTGTGACACATGCTGACTTTCATAAGCTTCCTCCAAAGCGTGTGCCAGGATACATTGAAATAAGGATATCTTTCTACTTTTCTAAAACAACTGTGATCTCATTGGTTTATAGTTACAGTCTTTGTTTCACAGAATAGCAGCTCATATCCTTTTTTTTTTTTTTTTGCACTCAGTTTAACTCTAAAGATAGAGAGATGAAAGTGCTCTATCTCCAAAATGTGTATTTTTTTTCAGGCAGAAAAAAAATTGATTTACAAATTTTCTCTGTGAAATACATTGTCACATGATTTCTCTTTCCCCTTTATCTCTGCCAACCCACAAAGCCCTTCTTTAGTCACAAGCCATGCTTTCTCACTATCTACCTCTTCTGCCTTGGCCATCCCCAGGGTAGCATCAGCTTAAGCATGAACATGGCCACGAGTAGACAAATATTCTCTCAGTGCACAGAGAACTTGGGATGGCTGAAGGAAGGAACACTTTGTTAATTACTTGACATGCAAATGTGTGCCCTTCGGAAAATTGCCAGAAGGCCCGGATCCTGAATTAAAACACTGATAATAATATGCAGGACATTAAACCATCAAGAAATTAAAAGAGCTTAATCCAGGGATGGCTGACTTTAGAGGACTTAGGGGCTGTAAGCTCTGGCGCCCTGCTGCCTGGGGGCTGGTTCCCTCTCACAGTAATTCTGTGAGACCAGTCATGGCCAAGCTGTGGAATAATGTCACCAAAAAGCAGACTGCTCCTGACAACAGCAAGGAGACAATTCTCCCGGAGCCATTGCCGGGGAAATCGCGCTGATTCGGCATCAGAGAGAAAAGTGTTTTCTTCTATCAATAGGTAGTGTTATGGAACATGAATCTTTGGCCAGTTTATAAAAAGGGTTTAAGCTGAAAACAGAAACTGAACGACATTCTGAGATACTTGAAAGCAGCTGTGACTTCACCTTGTGACCACATGTAACAATCCCAACCTCAGTGCACACGTTGCAACGTGTAGAAGTCTTTGCGTTCCTCTAAGCTGGGCCAAGAAAAAGAACCATCGGGTAACTGAACAGAAAGGAGTGGCTGAAGCAAAAGAGTTAGATGAATTCAGCTCACCTAAATCTCATCACTCAGCCTCACCCAAAAGATTTCTCTCCAGACAGGACTCACTGAATCGATGTTCAACAATTGTCCATGCTACAATTTAAATGTTTGTCTTCTGCGACTTCCTTGGTTACGACGTCCAGACATAACGACTCTAAATTCTGGCCAAACGTCAGAACAACTGAGAAGTTCATTCAGTAGCTCCCATAGGCCTGGGTGAGACCCTTTCGTCCACAGCAAGAACACATGTTTCTGGCTCTGGGCCCAGGTCCTCCTGAGTCATTCAAACCTTCTCCCGCAGTTCTCCATAAATAACTGACCGGGAATCTGATTGCTTCCTCACACGAAATGTGGCTGATACTGAGTTGTTATCTTTCCTCATAAATCCCTTCTCCCTGCCTCCCTCAGCGTCCTCGGATGAACTGCTATAAAATCATGGTGCGCTGTTAAAACCAGTACTGTTCTTACTTGATTGTGTGTAGTCTGTAGGATGCTGTGGATATTTACCCATCCTGGTGTTGAGTGTGTCAGTAAGATTGCTTGCTTGTTAAGATCTAGTGCTAACTGGAGGAGCAGGCTGGGATCCTCCAAGAGTCCTTTCTGAGTGCCTGCTCAGGTCTAGCCCTATTGGGTTGTGTTTTGTTTTGTTTTGTTTGTTTTGGGGGGAGTGCTTTTTGTTTGTTTGTTGTATGTCTGTGTTTCCAAGATAGTGGGTTTTTCCCCAAATGTTCTTATCATCTATGACTTTTTCACCAGAAGGGAGTTTTTAGAAGTATTCTTGAATTCCATACAAGTACAATTTGGGACCAGAGCTTTTTACGATGAAGAATATTTTTCTTGTTAGACATTTTTGGGAGGTAATTTCCTCCCCATCTTCCCCCCTGTACTCTCACTTGGGTGGTATGAGGATGGTGTTGGTGTTTGGAGGTTCACGTGTGTGTTGCAAGCGTGTAGCCTTTGCCGTTAGTCATAGCGCTGAGAGTGGGGACCAGGGAGAAAACCAGAGAAGAGTCTTCCTGTTTCACACACAGATGAAGGTACCTTGGGTGACATTTTTCTGTTTTCCTGTGCTCTCGTTTTCGGTCTGTGTAGTTGTTTCCATCTTCTGTGTTTCTAGTTTATGCTGAGGTCATGAAACTCAGTATGATTTCAAAAATATTCCCTGAGGGGGCTGCCTCCACTTTCCCACATTAGCTCTCTGTCGCCCACACTCTGAACTTGAGAGAGCTTCCTCTGTATGTCAGTTTTCACTCTTTGAAAAACTCCTTGGGCCAGAATCAGTCAGAGCTCACTGGTTCGGGATCAGTTTTCCGAAGGAATGTTTTCCCAGGGGCGTAGGGCTTTTATTTTTGAACGCTTGGGCAGCGCGGGGTGGACATGCTGACCGATTCTGCCATCCTGGCCATTTTGCCACGGCACCTGCAACCGAGAGCTCTGTGGGGCGGCCAGTGGAGTCATCTGACCTTAGAAACCCTTAAAACGACCAAAGCTTAGGTACTAGTTTATATATGAGATCCTCCACAGGCTCCGAAGTGAAAGCTGTGCTGAGAAAACATGAGTCTCCAGCCAGATAATGTGTACGTAATAGATTGCATGGCCTTGTACAGTGAGTTAGAGGAGACGACCTCTAAGATCCCTTTCAGTTGAGTGTGATTCTTCTCTTGGGCATCTCATTGGGAGAAAACAGCAGGTTTCCAGGCAGAAAGGCAGGAAGGCACAGTTGAGAAATGGCAGCGTTTTGTCAAATCATAGGCTTCCCAGAAGGCAGTGTTGCTTAAAGGGCTGAGTTAGAGCTTGACCATAGTGGTTCTAAAATCACTATAACGAGTGTTTCTTTACTCAGTAGGCAGAGGGAGCTATTGAAGGTGGGTGTTTTTTAGAAATATATTTTTATTGATTTCAGAGTGGAAGGGAGAGGGAGAGAGAGATAGAAACATCAATGATGAGAGAGAATCATTGATTGGCTGCCCCCTGCACACCCCACACCGGGGATCAAGCCCGAAACCCAGGCATATGCCCTGACGGGAATCAAACCGTGACCTCCTGGTTCATAGGTCGCCACTCAACCACTGAGCCACGCTGGCAAGGCACCATTGAAGGTTTTGAGTAAGGGATAATAATATCACAACTGAATTGAAAAAAGGTATAAGGGGAGGGTGCCTTTTCTGGAGAGTGCCAGCAAGCTGGCCAATGGGCAAACCCTGAAGGGTCCCCAAGTCAGGAGTGTGTCATCAGAGTTCCAAAAACCCTTGGAATTGCACATGGAGATTTGAGAATCTTCCCAGATGAGATTGGAACCATGATAATAAGTGAGACCTTCTTTAGAGAACTAGGGAAGGAAGATGATGGCTTGGAGTAGCATCTGGGGGCTTGACACCTGAGAGCTCGACCGCCTCTGTTCATCCTTAAAGACAAGAGCAGGATAGGATGGCATAGCTCAGGAGCAGTCTTTCTCGTCTACTGGTAGCAGCTGTGACTTGGGCTGTATAGCTCTTACCAAGGCTTCTTTCAAAGACCTTGTCATACTTCTGTGTGTTTCCCTGTGTGTTCTCACAGTTGAGTTGAATTACTTCCGATGAAAAGGAGATCGTGATTCTTAAGAGCCAGCTGACTAGTGTTATTTTTCAAGTCTCGACTTGTCTGGTTACAGACCCAGACCTGTCCTTTTCTGCTTGTAATTAAGTTCTTCTTACAAGTATGCATAGTAATCTCAAGCATCTTAATTATCAGGGCAATAATTGGGAGGTTTTCTTGTTTTCTGGTTCAAGTCAGTGCCAGTTTCATTGCTCCGAGTTAAGTAATAAGTTCTCTTAAAAGAGCAAACGTTCTGCTTCAGTTGTTAAAAAACCAGGACACCAAGTCATAGGCCAAATTCCATGGTAGACCTCAAACTCTATTTTGAAATAGCTCTAGACAATATCATCCTCACCACGGGTCCTTTTCTCACTTCTGTCACTGAGGGTGAGTTTGATTGGATACAATATTAGTCAGGAGTCTTTTGGTTGGAAGTAATGGTACCCTTTTCTAAATAGTTTAGCTTTAAAATTAAAAAGGAAAGAATGTATAGGGTACTGGGGACACGCAGTGGTGGGTTGGCTTCAAGCAAGGCTGGATCCAGGGGCTTAGACAGTGTTGTCAGCATTCTCTCTCCAACTTCTGATGCTATCTCTATGCTTGGCTCCATCACAGCTGGGGCCTCAACACTGCATCTTTAGAACTTGGAATCCTAAAGACAGAGAGAACCTCTTCCCTCCTCCTTCCATATACCAACCTAGGGAAGCCTCTGGCATGTACCCAGCCCTGAGCGGGTCACCAAGGCCTGCAAAATGCGGGACTCTGGCCAGCCTATGTCACACGCCCACTTGGATGAGGCAAGATGACACATCTTACATGATGTCTCACTAGGATCACGTTGGAGAAGGTGTTTCCCCAAAGGGAAAACAAGAAAAGGAGGAAAGGGATACTGAGTTAGCCAAACTCAAGAAGTCCACTCTATATACCATCCATCACACAAGCCCTAAACAGTAAACACCAAAAATAGAGCTTTTTCAGTCTGTGGTTATTTCTGGAAGGCTCAAAGTTTATTATTTGTTGTCGCTGACGTTCATTGTGATCTGCCCTGGATTGATAATCTAGATGCAAGCAGGCACGCCTTCCCCAGGGTGTGACTTAGTGGAGGCTGTAAAGTGACTTCAGGAGGAACACCCATCATTCCCAATGTTCATGTAAAGTCATCTGTCCCTCTAGGCACACAAGGATTTGAATGGGTTTCATTGACACGGGTTTGGTTTAGCAATCATCTGCTTTCAGTTGGGCCAGAAAGTAAACCATGCGAAAAGGTTTGGACATTTCACCCCAACTGAAAGTTGGAAGTAGAGATATTTGTGAAGTTACATGTAAAAAGAGAGAGGCTGACAGAGCGGGGGAAGGCAGATGCATAGATGCTGTTGACAGACACGCCTTGTCACCCCATGTTCCTTCCTTTCCTTTCCTTGTAGAGATGGGCTGTCTCACCTCACCTGCCCTGCCTTTCCCACCACACACAGGCTCAGTGTCCTGCATCATCCGGTTACATTTCCCCATCTTCTCACCACCACACCTACAGGCCACATCTCGGTGCCGATTTCTATGATTATGCAAACAATAAGAAGGTTTAAATTAGTCAGATGTCCAACTAAAGTGATGTTTTGCTGCTATTTATAAACCACAGTGATAAGAGAGTGACTGGACTCCTCCCCTCCTTGACTTACAGCCAGTCTGCTCAGCACACCAAAAATCCCCTCAATCTGTAGATCTTTATAGAAACTGTGGTTGAAAATAATCCAGTAAAGCTAACAGAGATAAGCTTTATTAAAAAAAAAAAAAGCCTTCACTTAGTAATTATCTCATGTATTTGTGGAAAACCTACTAAACTCACTTAATATGACATATCAGAATTGCAGTGTAGCTCGGAGAATGTATAAATTGTGATTGTTCCTTCACTTCTTGACTCTCTTCAGTTCCCAGGTGGCAATTAACGACCACAACAAAGCTGCAGTTGATGAAACCATCAGCCCTTGGTTTTAAAAAATATGTAGAACACTCAATGAAAGATCTTGTTGCAGGATTTCTGATAAATGCCCCATTCTACTTGTGTTCTCTGTGTGGTGTTTTGTCAGTGTTCATACTAGTATTGTAAGAATGGCTCTCTTAAGTCCTCCTTCGGCCCGGGCAGTGAAGTTTACAGTATATTTCTTTTTGGTCCTCATGATCATACTCCGAGGCAGGCATTATTAATATTGTAATTGTACAGATGGAAAAAATAGAGGCCCAGGGGTTTTATAAGGGTCTTGCTGCAGCCACACAGCAGGCAAAAGGTGGTCCAGGCTCCCCTCGGGTCCCGTGCTCATTCCAACCCTCCAAGGCTGTGTCTCTGGCCTAAGAGCTCATCCTCTAGGTCAGGGATGGGGAACCTTGTTTCTGCCAAGGGCCGTTTGGATATTTATAACATCATGCCCTTAATATGATTCACTTGTGAATTTATGTTGGTATGGAAAAAGCTCCTAGATTTATTGAATTTTGAGTCCTGCCTGCAGTTGCCTGGGCAGGACCAGACCAAATGATTTTGTGGGCCTTGTATGGCCCATGGGCTGGATGTCCCCCACCCTTGCTCTAGGTGGTTCCATGGTTTGTCCTGTTTTCCTGTCAACCTTTCATCGACGCCCTCAGGCAAACCAGAACCACCTTTTCTTTGCTTTATGCAGTTGGGTTGCAGCAAAGGAGAGAGGAAGCGAGGATGCCTTTCCTGGTCATTCTTGGACTTTCCATGGCTTCCCGGGCCAGGCAGGGTGTGGGGAGGGTCCTCTCCCATCCTGATGGAGGGCAGGCTGCCACATATCATGCAGGCTGTGGATTTAGGCTTGTGGGGGAAGTTTCAGGAAGCTGTATAAACAAGGAGTATATGTACAACGTGCCTCCAATCCTGGCTTTGTTTCATATCTGAGAAATGTCTTGGTGGTAGATTTGCTTTTTATATGAAGGTAAAACCAAAACCTTAGAATTTTTGTGGAAACAATTTCAATCAATTCTAATGATGCTCAAAAATTAGACTTGCTTTGAAGGTAAGGGAATGAGGGAGAAAGTTAATTCTGAAATGCCTTCAGAGAAGCTATAATGGGGTTGATTTATATTTTGATTAACGTTTTCTAACTCTAGCCATTGCCCAATCTGTCCCATCCCAGCCCCCATTGCATTTACTGCCCCCAAGGGCTTGGCCCTCCGTGCTGATGAGTCTTGTGCTGTTTCTTTGCTCAGCTTGCCTGGGCCCGATGGCTGGGAATCTGGAACCTGAAGGTGCTGACAGAGATGACATGCTGCTGCTGAGTGAGATCTTCAACGCGTCCTCCCTGGACGAGGGCGAATTCAGCAAGGAGTGGGCTGCTGTGTTTGGAGACGGTCAGCTGAAGGAGCCAGTGCCCACAGTGACCCCAGGAGAGCCAGACCTCAAGCCCCAGACAGGCTCAGGATTCCTTCCTTCACAGCTTTTAGACCAAAATATGAAAGACTTAAAGGCCTCGCTGCAAGGTATGTACTACAGGGGTTGAAATGTGGGGTTTTTGTTTGTTTATTCTTTGTTGTTTTTTTGTTAATTCTCACCTGAGGCAATTTTTCCATTGATTTTTAAAGAGATTGGAAGGGAGGGGGAAAGACAGAGAGAGAAACATCTAGTGAGAGAGATACATCAATTGGTTGCCTCCTGCATGCATCCCAACCAAGGCCAGGGATCAAGCCTGCAACCGAGGTACATGCCCTTGACTGGAATCAAACCTGAGACTTCGGCCAAGGGGCTATGCTTATCCACTGAACCAAACCAGCTAGGGCTGTTTGTTCATTCTTTGTTTTGTTTTGTTTTTCATCCAAAGGCCTATTTCTTGCTTCATCTTTTTTTTTTTTTCTGAGTTTTCTGATTTTTGTTTCCTATCTAGTGTCTTTTTGGTTTGTTTCTTAACTTTTATCATTTTATCTCCAGGGACTTTTCAGCTGAAATCTTAGAATCACATTCTAGCCATAAGATATGTTGCAGCGTTTAAAATCTATTCCTTCTCACAATTTTCTTCCTTTGTTAATATTTGTTATTCATACAGGATGAGCAGAGTGGTTCTCAATCTCATTGCCTTTTTGGTTTTAGATGCGTTCCTGGCGTACTTGAGAGATCAGATTGCCTTCACAGCCATGGCCCCGTTGGCTTGGCCATCCCTCCCCGGCCATCACCCTTCTGAGTGCCCTTGTGTACTCTCACGAGACAAAGTTCTCCACATCCCCAACTGAGTGCCAACTGACACGACACTGGGCTTCTTAACTCTTCACACTAAGTTTTATCTTGCTCTTGCTCTCTCCCGATCATGGCCCACCCCTACCCTGAGTGTGCTCTCAGCTCAGCAGTTTCACTCCTGCCTGAAGCAATGGCCCAACAGTCCCATGTAGCCCCAGTGACAGCAGGAACCATTTCCACACTCATCAGAGTGGTCAGAAGCATTGGTGAGGGGTCAGGGCACACCAGGGCGTGCCAACAGCCTGCACACTGGTTGAGAACAGCTGGCCTGGAAGCCACATTGATTTGATGAGGCAAAAACTAAGACACAGGTTGAAATTTCAATTTTTAAGTTTGAGTTTCTAATCAAATAGAGCTTGGGAAGGGAACCATTTTCTAGCATTTCAATACGTGATTCTCCTTTCGTACTGCTTTAATTATAAGACAGTATTAAGAAATTCTCAAATTGTTTTGGATTTTCCATGAATTTAGGCTAGCTCCTTAATAAACAACTTGTTTATCTGGCACTTAAAGCTGAGAACAAACGGCAGAGCTGGGATGATTAAGTAATTATGGGCTATTAAAGAAACCTCAGGTCGTTGGAGATGAGATCACGGACACAACAAGAGTTGGTGGGCAAGACAAAAAAGTCCTCCTTCTTCTCTATGAAACCCATCCTCCCTTTTATCTTCCTTTGTGAGTCCTGTTGGGTAGCCATCTCATTTCTTTTCAGAAATGGTGTTAGAGATAGGAAGGAGACATGAAATCCAAAAATACGTTCCTGCCCTGGGTTTTCACCTCTGGTTTCACCGCCTCTTGCACGGAGCTCCAGATAAGCAAGGCCAGCCATGACTGAGCCTCACCCCACCCACCTGCGGTGGAGGTCTGACAAGCTGTGGGGGAGTCGGAAGGCCGAGCTGGCATCCACAACTCCAATCTCTCATCCAGCCACACTGCAGGATGAACCCCACTCAAGCCCCCTACTTTGGAGGCACCAGCGTCCCTGCTGCCATCTGAGCCCCTTGTTGGCAGTGCCCCCACTTGGCCAGGGTGGCTGTGCCCCACTCTGACGCCTACACATCACACTCCACGCCCTCTTCCTGAGCAGGCAGAGTGAGGCCTCAGCCCAGCGCCCGTGAAGGGGCCCCGGCACTGGGCCCTAGAGCAATGACAAGAACAGAGGCCCAGGCCTTTGCACGTCAGCCCTGCCCCAAGTCCAAGGGAAAGACACAAAACCACACCAGGGTCTAAGGACAGAGGTGTTCTGACTGCAAGAGAGAAAGGCGAGCTCTCCCATGGAAAGGGAAAGAGGTCTTACAGGGCGGCCATTTATTTCTCAGCCAAACAAAGTCTCCCTTGAGGCCACCGCCCTACTAGTAGCACTTTGGCAAGTTTCTCATTCATTCAGCAAATATGTACGGGGTCCTTCTGAGTGCCAGGCACTGGGGATTTGTCTGAGAACTCAAAAGACAAGCTGTCTGCCTCCCTGGAATTCACCTTCTAGTGGAGAGAAGACGATGAACAGAATAAAGAAGCAAATAACACTGTAGGTTAGAAACTGATCAATGTTATGGAAGAAAGAAAAAGTATGGTTTTGGTAGTCCTAAAAAAAAAAGAGAGAGAGAGAGAGAGAAAGTAAGAAAAAGTAGAGGCAGGGGATAGGGAGTGTTGCGGGGCTGCAGGGCAGGCTGCAGAATGAAAAGATTCTTATTGAGAAGATGAGACCCGAGCCAAGACTTGCAGAAGGTGAGAGAAGGAACCATGTGGAGATCTGGACAGAGGGACTCCGCGTGCTGGTGCCGATGCCGAAGGCAAGAATGAGCCTACCCCTTGCCAGAGCTCCCTGGGCTGTGACCATCAGCCCCACCCGGGCGTTTGCATGCACCCCCCACATGGGTGCAGTTACATTCACGGTAGAGAGCTACTCTGCAGGGTGTTATTTTGGCCGGCAATATTCCTGGCTGATTTATATTTTCCCTTATGTAAGTAGAGGAGGCAGGATTGCTCCAATAAAATTTTATGTGTTTCCTGCAAATGGGTAGCACAGTTGACATATCAAAGGGATGGAGAGCTCTAGGATAGTCATTTGTTCACAGAGCTCTTGGCGCTGCCGCCCCCGCCCTCACTACCCTCTCCTGACACAGTTCCTCTGAGATGGGAGTCTTTCTAGCCACACCTTCGTGTTAAAAAAAAAACAAAAACGCCTCGGCCAACTAACACCACGTAGAGAACAGTTGATGGCAATTAGAGGAATATTAGCAGCACGGAGTTATCTTCCAATAGAAATCTTCCTGGCAGAGGCTGAGAGGGTCCACACCTGGCTTGGCATTCCGTCCATCATGACCCTCACTGCGCCGTCCCCTAAACAATTCCCTACGAGATGCGTGTGAGGGGGAAATTGCAGATGAGCTTTGCATTTGTCTTTAAAATTTTAAAACAATATATAATGGCTGCCACAGCCACACCACTGTCCCCCTCCGTGCACAGAGTGGGACTGTTGGCCGGATGCTTCATAGCAGTTCTGAGCAGAGGATGTGATGGCAGACTGGCTGGTGTCCTGCTTCACCCCATGGGACAAGGGAAATTCTGACGCCCTGTGTCCTGGTGACAATTCTGAGATAGGCTGTCTCCATGCTCTTAGTCCCCAAAGAGGGGGTGTCTTTAGGCTCTTCCTCCTTCATGTCCTCTGATGCAGAGAAGCCCCCAACTCCATCGATCCTAGCTGTGGCCTGTGTGGGTCATGAGGTGGACCACATTCACAAATCCAGTGTTTTATGAAGGAATCCAGGTAGGAGGCATTTGTGGTCTTATGGAAGGAAGCCGCCATCACAGTCCGTTCGATGAGAGGCTTGAAACTCGGAGTTGTCTCTGTGGCACCTTTAAAATCTGACTTGATACACAGACACTTTATTATGTCCGGAAGCTGGACTTTTAGGGAACAGGCCTGTTCTATAAAGAAACGGCAGCTCCGTCCTGACCTGCCTCCTTTAGGAATGTGGTCCATTGAATGCTCTGGAAACTACGATGCTGGGAGCCTGCCGCTTCCTGCCAGTGATCTCTGCAGTCATCTTACAACATGCGTGCTGGGTGTGACTTTGAAACGGGAAGAGCGACCTCGCTGCGTTCCCACTGTAGCGCACAGCGTGCGGACGCCAGCGAGGCTGCCCGCCACGCCTCTCCCCTGGCTTTCCTCCCCATCAGTCGGGTTCTCTCCAGAAGCGTCAGCCTCCTGAACCCAGATTGCTTGACAGGATCGAGGAGCTTAAAACCTGGCGAGAAGGTGGGGCCCCGAAGCGGCCCCCTCTGTTTCCCAGGAGGGCCTGTCTCCTGGTCCCGGCTCTGATTCTCACGGAGATGGGGACCCTGGCAGCCTCCTCCGAGACCATCTGTGGCAGCGCTTCCCAAACATACACGTGCTTCACGGTCACGGGGGGCGGGGGGCTCGTTAGAACCGATTCCTGGGCTCCCCCCCAGGGATTCCCATGCAGGAGGTCAGGTGGGCGCCGGAAGTGTGCATTTCTAACCCGCTCCCAGGTGCTGCAGGCTGCTGGTGTGGGCGCCGCGGGTGAGAACCTGCTCCCGGCGTCCGGGCCAGGCCCAGGGGTGCTGGGGAGGGTCCAGGCTCTGCTGAGCACCGATGGGCCTTGGTGTCCAGGAGAAAAGCAGAGGGAAGGGGTAGCCTTTACCCAGTTAGCTTCCACCTCGTTCGGCTTGGTCTGGCACTCAGTGGAACGCGTTTTTAACGTTCCACATTTCCACTGTTTGATGTGATTTGGGTTTAGAAGCAAAATGCTTGAGGGCCAAGTTTCTAGGAATCAGAGAGGTTATGTTACTCCTGGATGACGCCAAATAGTGTTCATTTTTTTAAAACCGCTTTATTGAACTGTAATTTACATACTATAAAATTCACCCACGGTACGGGGATGGTTCCTGGGATTCTGGTAAATTTATATTATGCAGCCGTCACCAGAGTCCAGAAAATTCCCTCAAAATCTGGTTGCTTTTGATGTAATATCTGGAATCATGCATGATCCCAGATATTACATTCTCCTTTTTTTTTTCTGGCTTAATGCCTCATTCATAATTCCCTTTGTCAGATCTACCGAGGAGGAATCAAACGTGTGTCTCCATGTAACTGGCTGCTCCCTTAAAATTGGGTGGAAACAGCAAGATAGGAAAGGCCACTGGGGGTGGCTGTCTTTATCTGAAAATGCCATTGCCACCACCAAACAAGGCATTTACTGAGGCTGCTCAGGAAGAGCCAGGTTTCTTCGTTGTCAGAAGAGGGCCTTGCAAGCTCTTGAGCTCTGTTCTCTTTTGAGACAGGCCCTGAGAACATCTGCTCCTCTGGGGATCTCATCAGCACTTGCAGCTCCCTCTCCGGCTGGTCAGCACCCGCTTTCCCTGGGTTGACCACAGGGGGTTACGGGGAGTGTCTGTTACCATCACAAAGCATTCCCAGGATGCTCTTGGAGGTGATGTGCAAATAGTTGCACCTGGTTTTCCCTCCGACAGTGGAGGCCTGGGGACTGTGAGGCCTGCCCCAAAGTACAGGCACCTGGTGCCTCCTGCAGGGCCACGCCCACTCTCTCGGGGCCTTCGGAGGCCTTTGCAGAGGTTAGGAGGAAGGGGAAGTGAGTCTGAAGTGTATTCACTGGGGCTCTCTTTAAGATATCTTGATATTCTCTATCAAGCATCAACTAATCGCCTAAATCAGTCTTGCTCCATACAGTTTCCTGTGTGACCTCCTACATGACGAAAGAAAGTTACTCCCCTTTTTTTTTTTTCAGTTGTTCCCCACCCCCAACCAGACCATCTTGAGATGGCTCAAGCCTCAGTTCATCATATCAAAATAAACCAAGTGTCTTGAGGGCTAACTGCACATGGAATTCAGTTAATGTCACACAGTAATACTTGCCTGTTACCAGCTAGCCTTGCTGACAGTAGTTTTAGCTCTCTAGTAGATACATTGATTATCTCCTGCTTATGGTGGTCTAATCCCACCAGTTCTCCCCCATCGCTCTAATATAACCACTTTTAGCAACGTGCCCTACCCACGGTTTTTGAGACTCCTTTTAGCCAGATGGCAAGCACATTCCTAGCTGCTCTTAGCTAGAAGGATCACCTGTCAGAGAGACATTTTCTTTGTGCTTTTGATACTCCCACCTGTTGGAGAAGGAAAAAAGGATGGGTCATCGAAGCCAGTGAACTTCCATTCTCATGTGGGATGGTTTAGATAAAGCAGAGCCCCCAACTTCTCTAGAAATCACTTGCATCAGGCCCTCTTTTGAAAGAGTTCTCATCTGGGAAATAATTTGGCTCTATAATTGTGGTCTTCAGGAAGTGGGAGCAGGTGGTTTGGGAAGAGAGCCGCTGAAGAGACTACTCCAGTGAGGCCAAAGAGGGTGGGGACAATTCAGAGCCCAGAGGGGGACGGGGAGGCATATGGAAGGCCTCCTTCCCAGCCTGATGGGAGGGGATGGAAGAAGGCAGTGACCCTGAGCGTCCAGGCCTGGACTCCAACCCCCTTCTGGGCCTGGGGCTTTGAAGTCTGAAAAGTGGCCCCCGTATTTCTCTTGACCCAGCGGATTGGGAATGACTCCTGGAAGACTCCTCACTTCCTCAGCCATGCAGTCCGATTTCAGAAATAGCTGATTACTCCTGCTAATGGTGAAGCAGCCGGTCTAAGGTCTTAGGCGACTCTGTGGGCTGTGGACAGCCGCTGGGGTGGGGCTTAACCAAGAGCTCGTTCTTTTCTGAGCGTCAGGCCAGGGTTGAGAAATTGACTCAGCCAACGAGCAGAGGGACCTGGAATTCCCTCATGGGTTTTAGAGGTGAAGCGCAGTGGGTTTTGTCTGGGTGAGCAGCCGCCCTTCTCACAGTGAGCCCGGGCCCCCGCAGGCAGCGTGGTGGAGGTGGGCGTTTGGAAGGTGGTAGGTGGTGTGCTGACCTCTCCTCATCTCTCCCCAGAGCCCGCCAAGGCTGCCTCGGACCTGACTGCCTGGTTCAGCCTCTTTGCTGACCTTGACCCCTTGTCAAATCCTGACGCCGTGGGGAAAACCGATAAAGAACATGAATTGCTCAACGCATGAGTCGCAGCCTCCGGCAGGGAGCCCGCGCGCTCATCGCAGCACCCCTGGGGGCTCGCAGGCGGATCCCGTGATCAGTACGCGGTTTTACTATTTCCGTGCCATTTTAATAAAGCGAAAGGGTCAAAGGCCCAGTTTCTATTGGTATGATTATTTACTCTTATTTGGTCTGAAGGGATGCAGTGTATTCTCTGTGTGGACCTAACCATACAGGATTGTCTAGGAGCGGCTCCGGGGCTGGCCGCTCTCCTGCCAAAATCTGCCTGGTGGCTGCCGACGTGTCACTGGGCTACGGTGAAGTCCAAGTTCAAATCGTAAACCTCCTCTTTGTCAGGTTTATGCAATGTGTCTACAGACTCGAGGCAGCGGGAGGCCAGCGAAGCCTAAATGCCCCCTGTCTATCTCCCGTGGAGGGGGCTGCAGGGAGACGCCTCCACCTGCCCAGCC